AACACGGCAGCCAATTCCTTAACCCTTTGCACGCGGGTAAACCAAGGAGTTATTCAGTAACCCAGTGTGTATGTCCCCTGATTTTCCCATTCCTCGAATTTGCGGGAAATATATTTTCTTATTTTGTTATTGAAATCGACAGTTATTATTACTGGTGTTGTGGTTATTTATAGTGTAAGTAAAATACTAGTATCAATAAAGGGTAAAGAAAAAAAATCCAGAAAATCAACATAATTTATAATGTGACAGTGTGCAGAATACCACGACGTTTCAGATATATCGGAATGAGAAATAAACATGACAGTTGTCTCGAGTGAGAATATGGGAACTCCCAACTAACCCAGCCAGGCAAAATGGCTGATCTTACACGTAGGTAGAAAATACGTGTGTTCTTATTTTTTAATTACTTCATGTACCTAACCTTCCTTCTCTCCTCAGCTACACGCCGGAGCCGAGTGGAGGAACCAATGAAAACTGCTCAATTCTCTACAAATCGGACTTCTATTACATGCATGACATAACCTGTGCCCATGCTGCCGCCCCACTTTGCATGAAACACGACTAATGGTACCCATTAGAGAGGTTTTATCTCAAGTGAGTAACAGAAAGTGATATATATATATGTATATATATATATATGTATATATATATGTATATATATATATATATGTATATATATATATATATATATATATATATATATGTGTATATATGTATATATATATATATGTATATATATATGTATATATATATATATATATATATATATATATATATATGTATATATATAATATATATGTATATATATGTATATATATATATATGTATATATATATATATATATATAAATATATATACATATATATTTGTAGGCTTCATTGTAATTTCCTTCCATTCGTACCCGCAACCACCTTCCATATACATTCCTTACACAACTGAGGGATCGTCAAGTATTAAATCCTCTTTTACTGAGGTCTTTGTTGTTTCGTTAGGTTTTGATTTAGAATTGATTGGATTTTGATTATGGGTAGATTTTGAAGGCAGATTAAGAGTCATTAGATTTTGATGTCTCTTCATGATACATCGGTTTAGCTTTGGATGAACAATTTAATTATCAACAGTTTTTGGATTCCCTTTTAAGCTTCGCAAAAAAAATTATATATACATATATATATATACATTTACTACTTTCTTGATGCGACGCATTGAATTGTTACTCAATTGCATTATATTACTTCTGTTGTTCAGTATCTCCAGAATTTGAAAAAAAAAAAGAAAAGAAAATTATACTGATAGGTTATGAAATAAACATATGAATTTGTATCATTTGTTTCTTTGCCCATTATGTTCTTTACTTCTGTTCTGTGAATATTTTTTGACGTATGTATATATGTGTGTATATACAGGAATACATGCATGAATCCACATATAAATTGCTCATCCATTAAGGGAATACATAAAACACGGCAGATTAAACAATAACGTTGATCTTTATTATCGAAGAACAAAAAAAAAAGAGAAAAGAAAAAAAATATCTTTAACAAATACTCTTTTTTCTCAAAATAAGTGGAGACACTAAGCAAGCCCATTGACCCTTGACCTTTGACCTTCTACACCGGGATCATGCGTCGCCTTGCTTCCACGGCGGTCACGAAGCGGTGAACGTCACGGGCCAGGTCAGCAGGTCGCTCCAGGGCCGGAAAGTGGCCGCCTGCCTCCTGATCGCTGGTTGGGGTACAGAGGACGTAACAAAATATATATATATATATATATATATATATATATATATATATATATATATATATATATAAAACAACAAAAACAAAATCAAGAATATCTCATTAATAAAAACAAAAAAAACAAAAAGGTTAATTGCTAAAAAATCTAGAGGATACTTAACAAAAAAAAAGAAAAAAGAAATAACTAAAAAAAGATTAATCACAAACAAAAACAAGCTCATTATCAAAACAAAAAGTTAATTAACAAAAAAAAGAAGTTAATTAACAAAAAACAAGTTCATTAACAATAAAACAGGGGATTAATTAAATTGATTTAATGTAAATTCATTTACAACACAAACAAGTTAATTACCAACAAAACAAGAATTAAATAACAAAGCAAGTTGATTAACGAAAACAAGATGTTAGTTACCAAAAACAAACAAAATGTTCCTTAACAAACACATGGAGTTAATTACTACCAAAACCAAGAAGTTAACTAACAACAAAAACGAAATGTTCATTTAACAAAAAGAAAAAAGTTCACTACCAATAAAAGTAAAAGAAAGTAAAAAAAAAAAGTTCATTGACAAAAACAAAGTCAATGAATTCGTCAACAACAAAACAAAAGCAACAGCAAGAAAATAGAGAGACTCACGTGTAGCTTACGATGTCATAAAACTTGTGGGCCGCGATGCTCTCTGGGGTGTTGGAAATCTCTTGAGGGAAGGCGGCCAGGCCTGCTGGCACTCGGCAAGGGTTACTGCCAACAATATAGGGTT